AGAAGTGTATGGTCTTGACAACCAAAGACCTGCACGAGACAAACTTGAACTAGACCTGCTACTGCGCAGAGCATAGGGCCTTCCTTCACCGGGGCTAACTGAATGTGGAGGGCAGAACTGGCAGAACTAGGACCTCTGTCACTCACCCAGAGCCATGAGACGAGGCTCAGTTGAGGCAAAGTCGAGCCCAGAGTTGAGCAGCCGAAGGTCGAAGGTCGCAGGGAGGCTAATAGGCTTGAAGTTTCTTATTTCAGGTGATAACAATGTTGCAATTGGAAATGATGTTTGCACATGTTTCTGTGTAACTTCAGTATTTAGATTTTGGGCAAAATATCTATAAGGAAAAGTACTAAAACCACTGAATTTTTACGTTTTTATAAAAGAATACTTTATGATACAGTAAAAAAAAAAAGTGCCAAGTTAACTATTGTGAGCTTGAACTCTGAAAGTGTTTGACTGAAAAGGGAGAGGCATGACTGTGTGTGCTACAAATAGCGAAAGACATTTGTAGAAGACGCTTATAAAGTAGGACAGACAATATAGTAAATATTAGCATAGCTTAGTTAATATAGAATTCATCTCAAAGCAGAACACAGCAGAGAAGTATTTTTTTTGTCCTGATCAAATGAACACTCATCACGTACCAGTTCTTCTACTTGTTCAGCTTCACAGTGTTCAGTACTTACTAAGGACCTTACTTACTGAGGACAGGTCATGAGAAAGGGGAGGGCTGGTGGTAGCGATGCACAGTTTGCTTTCAGTATAGCATATGAATTATAAAATTATATATTTGAAAGGAAGGTTTTTCAGTGTATTTATTTGATCATCCCTTATGTCTCAGACAAGTTAGCTCTCTCTTGGGGTCATACTGTCCCCTCAGCTTCCCTGATACAAAATTTATGTAGTAAGGCCATCAGATGAACTGCTGTTGATTGAAACTCAGTGACTTCAGTTAGCCACATGAAAATGGAAAGAAAATTGTTAGCCAGCTCAACAATATGTGACTTTCTGCACTCTGCAGGAGTGGCATCCACTTCCTAAATAACATGCCTCTGGGAACCCTATGAACTTTGATAAATGTCAATAGTTGTAGAGGGGCTTCAGGTCTTTTGTTCATAGGATTGCTATGAGTCATGCTCAACTCAAAGTCAATCATCATCAACAACAACAACAACAACTGCTAAAGTGGACACATTTTAGTGTCACAATTTTGGAAACATCTTTCAGGAAAGATGTAACTGAAGCACCTCCTCCTGTTGGCTAGGAAATTGCCCTTGTTTATTTTAAAGATTAGAATCAAGAGCACTTCTGTTGTATATGATTTCAGATTTTTTAATGATAATTCTTTTGAGATTCTACTGTTTTTTCTTTCTGAATATCGATGCTTTCAGATTAAGAAAACAGACAAATCTTGTTCATGCTGTAATTCTTCAAAAACAGTATGATACAAATTTTAATGTAACTAATCTGAAATGCAAAAGCTAATTTAAGACCTCAGAATTTGTTAATCCATCTGATTAACTGCCTCTTGCCCTTCTCCAAGCCTTGGGATAAATTATAACTGGATTAGGAAATGAAGATTATTTATGTCAAATTGATTGATGACTTAGGCAAGTGGATTGAAGGAATAAAAAGTAAAACATGCTGAACAGAAAGATGCTAAGACCTTTTTTTTTCTTATCTGATGGTTCAAGAAGAAAAAGAATAATTTGGTGTTTTTACCTCTACATATCCTCTTATTAAGCATGGTATTTGCTGTGTGCATGGAATAGATTAGCAGATGTAAGATTCAGGTGCAATAGATTAAGGTGTAATTTTATTTATTTACAAATAAAATCCATATGGATGCATTCTCCTGGACTGCTGTGCCCTTGACCTTTATAACTTCTCTAGAGAAGCAAAACCAATTTATGAATATATACAGGGATACACACACACACACATTTTTTCTTTCAAGGAACTGACTCAGGAACCCTGGCAAGTCCCAGACCTATGAGTCTGACCATAGGAGAGTGAGTTCTTCTGAACAGAATTCATAGTCAGCATGTAAGACAGGCCAGTGGTTCAAGTCTAGAGAACTGAAGGTGACAAATTAGAAGCAGGATCTAGATAATGTGAAAAACAAGAGAGCTTTACCAGATGCCCATTTATATTTGATGCAGACCACTCTGCAAATGAAACTTCTTTTAACTGATTAGTTGCTCATAGTAGATCTCATCAAGAGAACGATAGCATCAAGGGAATGGATACATCATAACTTCCAAACCAGATCATAAGCAGCCAGGCCGGTACACAGCCTTAACCATAACACATGACTTCAAATGCCAGTCATTCAGTTTTGATAGTTAAAAATGAACTCTTCTGAAGAGTTAATGACTAAAAAGAGTTAATCACTTGGTACCTTTCTATCAAACCTTCTAGTGCATGTTTTGGTCATGATTGTTTGTTTTTGGAATTCATGTAAATATATTCTAATATATGATAAAATTAAAAGTTGAGACTATGGAAAACTATTCCCAGTGTGAAGCTTTGGCAAGTAAGTGACAAAAGCTTAGGAAGTCCATAATAGATGTGAACTAATTCACTCTTACCCACATGATGAAATAACATCGTCTCAAGCCAATTTATAATCTACTCTGAAATTCTTAGTCCTGTTGTAGTATATATTCTGGAAGAAATGGATTATGATTTTATTTCTGTGAAAACACAATTGTATCAGTAACTAGCTTTCTTTAATTATTCAACACCAACTTCTGACACCTGTATTGGAAATGAGATTTGTTTTAAAACATTTCAAAATGGTAGCTAATATAATGCAATTTATGTAGAGAAACATTTACTCTTTGACAATAGCACTTTACTCATGCCTTTAAAAGTGAATAGTAATTTGGTAATTTAGGGACTGAAATTTTACTTTCATTCATCCTAATAACTAAAACATATTTTTGCATGTATATATTCCCCAATCTAAATATGCAACTCAGAACCCTCTAAAGGGGACTTTTCAGTGAATGCTAGAACTATTATGTTTAGAACTTAATGTACTTCTATAGGTAACTAAATCTTGTTATTTTATTTCTTCCTTTCTCTCTTCTTGTTCATGAAAGAAACTATCGAGAACAGAGGTATGTGATGAGAACAATCTGAACATATAATTAAAAGACTTACACCTTATAAGCATCTTTGGAATGTATACATGCAATTATAAGTCAAGTTCACTTTGTTTTTATGCTGCCTTAATCATATACTACTCTTGCTTTTTCATGACCTTAAACTAATAATTTTAATGGGAGTGGTATGAAATGTGTTCATTTACAGTAGATCTGTCATTATTCGTATTTAACAATTTATGATTCTTTCATCCACTAATATGACAATTAGCAGAGGTTCTAACTTGTGTTGTTTTTCCAGTAATATATATGGTTATTGATTGTCCCTCTTCCTAGCTAAAACATGCTTCTCGTTTAAGGTGTCATGTCTTCAGCATCTCCCCTTACTTTAGTTTATTGGCTTTTATCTCATGTTTATGACAACCCTCTTACCACATCATACTTCCTGAAAGAATATATATTTTTTCTTTTTAATAACTTACATACATAAGTGATAAACTTTATTTGAGCACAATATTACCTTTAGGTGAATATCTGGGTACCTGGTAAGCCTATTTATTTCAAGCCTATTTATTTCCGTATTCAGTAAGCAAAGGTACGTGGAGTTAAAAAAATTCTAGAAACTGAAATCTTTGATTATTGTACTTTTTTATTTTTTAATTAAAAATTTTTTTATTATTGTACTTCTTAAAAAAATTAAAATGTCAGACATCCATTCAGCATAGCCTGAAAATTGATAGCCGCATAATAAGAGTGACAGAGCACTCATAGCCAAGATGCATATGCAGATTTTCGTTTATCTAGCTTTTTCTTTTGCTCCTTTAAATGCCTGTGACAGATTAAGTATAAACTGTAACTAATTATACTTCATTAGACTCTAATCTCAACTATCATTCTTTCTCAGATTAAGAAATTAAATTTCTATGCCTTTTCATCATCTAATGCAAAATCCTTATAAGAATTTAAGGAACCTTAGTAGCACGGTAAGGGGACTCTGGTGGCCGAGTGTTAGGAAGCTGCATTGTAAACCCAAAGACAATCAACCAGCCGCTGCATGGGGAAAGGATGGACTCTCTTCCTTTGTGATTTACTGCCTCTGAAAAACCCACTGGAAGATTGTCTCTGAGTTGGTTTCAACTCAGAGGCACGCGAAAACATCAGTAGCACAGTGTGTTAAGTTACAAACCTAAACAGTGGTTTAAATTCTCCAGTCCTTTTCCAGGAGAAAGACATGCAAGTCTTCCCATGAAAATGTACAGCCTGGGAGACCTGATGGAGGGTCACTAGAGTCAGAATCAATTTGATGGCAATGGTTTGTTTCTGTTGTTATTTAAGACTGTAACCACAAGAAACTATAGTTTTTCTTATCGTTGTATTCCTTTGAGTTGGAACCGACCCATAGCTGACTCTCTCTGCTGGGTTTTCAGAGGCAGTTAATCACACTGGAGGAGATTGCCCAGCCTTCTCCCCAGGGGCAGCTGATGGATTCGAACCACAGTGCTTTTGAGATTGTAGCACAGCTTCTTACCGGTGGGCTACCAGAGCTAGATCTCTCTAAATAAATGGACCTCGTTGAACATTTAGATCTTGGCCATTTAGGATAGATATTAGAGAATATGTACTGGCCCTGGAGTAACTAATTCATTCTTTATGGAAGAAGTAAACCTGAGGCAACAGTACATTTAATTTTTAAAACTGGTTTTCAGTCTTGTGCCCAAAAGCAGCTAGAGAAGAAAAAGTACCATGTAGACTTTCTGTAAAGAAGGTGATTGGTCATATGAGTTATATAATTAGGCAAATAAGATTGTCAAAAGTTGATGATGCAGCTTTATACCATAGCAACTAAATATATAATGTAATGTTGCCAAGGGCAACAGGAGAGTAAATGTCTCAAGTAAGACAGAGTTAAAACAATGCTCAAATATATAGTCTTGCAAGAAAATTACCTTATTCAAGTTGTTAAAATTGTACAAAAATCATTACTGTGTAAAATTATGCACCAATTTCTTTCTCATTCTAATTCAGTGTATGCATAGGTATGGTAAAGGAAATTTTCACATTTAGAGTCTTCCTTTATATGAGACACAGTTTTATGCCTTTTGGTATTACCAACTCATAATTTCATCTTTTATCAATCTAGCTATTACTGGTTCCTGTTTTGAGAGATATGGTTTTGGTGTTTCTTGAGATGACTCCTCCCCCCCTTTTCACAACTAGTATATCTTATGTTTGCACAATAGTTCTAGAAACAGAAGAAAGCAGCAAAATGGACTTTAGATAGGGAAATCATTAATGTGTAAAATATTATCAAACAAATATTTATTTTTTGAGAATTCATATGTTGACAATTATAGGAGAAGTAAGAAGGCTAGCAGATCAAAGCGAGAACCAAGGTATTTAAAATATTGTGGAAAAACTGCAGAGATCCAAATTGAGGCCCTGGTTCCCCAGTATGTCAAGATGTAGAATGAAGAACTCTGAGTCATGATTGCCTTTAAATGAATTTTTCACTGGAACTTGCATGCTGGAATGACTATTCAAGAAGGAAGCAGAAAGATATCATAATGAGAAGGGTAGGGATGGTAAAAGAGAGGACCCTTCATGAGATGGATTGACGCAGTGACTGTGACAGTGGGCTTGAGCTTTGCAGAGATTATGAGGATGGCCCAGAGCAGAGTTCCAGTCTGTTGTTGAGAGAGTTGCTATGAGTTGTCGTTTTCGATGACACCTAACAAGAGAATGTGATCTTAATTTAAAAATAGCAAACTGTGCTCAATCCCAGATTCAGAAAAAGGTATCTGTATTCTGTAAACCATTGCAATCAAAAGACATTAATAATAAATGGTCTTTGGCAAACTTGGTTTTCCTGATCTTTGAAAGAAAGAGATGAATGTATTTGTTCTACAATAGTGGCACTCACAATTGTATTTGTTGAGCTATTTCGAATGTTTGTGAACATCAAGTTTGGCTTAAACATTAGCTGCAAAATCTTATTAAGTATCTTACTAAGATTACATGCTTATTAATGATGTAGAATCAGGAACATGCCAAATTGGACACAACTTTTAAATTTATATAGAAGAGCCTAGAAATATGCATTTTTATCTCCTGAGAACATATCTTCAATGCTTTCTTGTCATTAAAAGAACAGAGTATGTTCAACTGGAAGTCTGACGAAAAGATGCATGAAAGTCCATAATTTTTTATTTATTTTGTCTGCAAGACTATTTAATAAAGAAAAGAAGTATAGTAGAGGCAGAATTCTACATCCAGTTATTTAATATTGCTTTAAATCTGCCAGTGTGTCTCCATGTGAAGGGTAGACTTGCAGAACCAAGAGCCTGGAGGAAACCATAGCCATTATGTGATTAGAAGACTGATAGGTTTCTTTTTCTTTAAAATCTTCAGGAAAGAAGACGGCAACAATTTTTTCAGATTATTTTTTAATGTTCTAGCATAACTATTTAATATTTAGCAACTATATACTTTGTAAAAGGGATTACGTGGAATGAAGGAAAGTGAAATGCAATGCGTACGAATTTTGTATGCAAACCAACATAAAACAGACTTTTTAAAGAAGGAATTACATGTTTGAGTTTTAGTTTTCAGATAGATTTGCAAATAGCAATAGAATAAGAAACAGCTGAACTTGGATCTGTGAAACCTCTATTTTCAGTTTTAATCTTATTATCTTTATTTTTGCAATCAACATACAACAGTATTATTAGCAAGAAATAGAATACTTACATCATACTTCCGAACCCCTGCTTTTACCTAAGGCTAAAACCTTTCTTTTGCCCCATTTATTTTCTCTTTCATCTGTTTTAGGTATATTAGAGTCATCTTGTGAACCGCTCACCACTTGCCAGACCTTTCTTAGTTTGTTTTTATTATTATTATTTCTTCAGTATTCACACATCTGTCAATGCAGCTTGGTACACACTAGGTGATATTTCTTAAAATAATAAAGTAATAAAAGAGACAGCACAGATACCAAGCAAGCGGGAGAGGCTCCTTCAGCACTAGGTTTTGGATGTGTTTGAAGGCTTCCTTTTTCATTGTATTCTCATTTTAAAGGAATTAAATGACTCTTACATCAAATATAACTCAATAGATCCTTGTAGGAATGATTAGATAGATTTCTCTCATGACCAACCATTGACCTAAAGGCCTACAGGATAATCCAAGAAACTTTTCTTTTTACGTTTAGAGTAGAAACAACTAGTTCACTTATAATATAGAACATGCTAAGAATTGGACTGTTTGTGTCTTCTGAAGTAGAATGAGAACAAACAAGCTCTAAACAGATCTAGTAACTGGGGAGAAATAATAATGGAAGTTTGCATGAACCTGCTCCTCCAGAATGTAATTTGTCTGGGCTAATAGAGTTGAAATTTGTCTTAGAGAATGGGAAATACCTTCAAAAGAATGGTTTTAAGCAGGATGTATTAATTCAAACACAAAATCAACTGCCAATTTAAAACCATATTGAGAAAGGGGAAATTATCTGCATTTAATACAGGAAAAGATCCTTTTTCTTTTCTCTTTTTTTTCCCTCAAGAAAAAGAATTAGCTAAGTGAGATTAACAACAGCTTATTTATTTTTCTTGCCATTATACCAAAAATTCATGCGCATGTCTATAATTAATACATATAACATATGGTAGTGATGACATAGGGAGCTCTGGTGGCCTAGTGGTTGAAAAGTTATGCTTCCAACCTGAAAACAAGTGGTTCATATCCACTACCTGCTACATGGAAGAACGATTACAGAGGGGCAGTCTCCTCCAGTGTAATTAACAGCCTTTGAAAACTCACTGTAGTCAGATGAGTCAATTCTGGCTTGATGGCACATAGCAGCAACATTTATGAAATAGTTTTCCTATTAGAAAACTTTGCAGTAGTACACTCTTAGCTGGGTAGTCATTCTAGGTTCCAAAAGACCTGAACTGAAAAGAAATGAAAATTTCAGAAGAAAGCCATAATTATAAGAAAAGATTAGAAAAACCAATTAT